CGCGTTCCACCAATCTGTTCGGCGAGCCGCAATATTTTTGTAAACACTGCATTTCTTACGTGTAATTAATACGTAAATAATTAGTAATTTAAAACAGCAGGTATATAAATAACTAGTTTTGCCAAAGAACGACCAACTATACCGAAATTTTGCGCGTTTAATCTCATTTTTTGGAAGAGTGCAAACCTTTTCGTAGCTCCACTTTTTGGCCTTTGTTCGTTTGGGACCTGTACGAATAGGGTCCTTTTCAGGATCATGTGGAGTAACTTCCACCTTAAGTATACGCATATAGCAGGGCTCCTCATATCGTTGGAATTTGTTACGTATTACGAGCCGGCCAACACCAAAGTCCCGCAGATTTCCCACAATCTCCCACAGTGTCTTACCGCGAAAATCAGTTGTACGACCAATATATTTAACTACGCTCATTGCTGAGGAATTCGATCTGCTGTTTTTCTTTTGAGAAGGGGTAAAACGTACTTTTTAGCCTTTGTTCGTTTGGGACCTGAAAAAGAAAAATGAATGAAAAATTCAACAATGATCAATTAAAAATTCACAAAATATAATAACCTACAACACTTACCGGTTGGCCTCGTGGAAAATTATGAATGACATTTCCTTTCATTCGAAGGATGTTGCCAAGTTAGGTACAGAAGTTTACGATATTAGTGTAAAATTTCTCGCCCCTAGAGTATGTGGCAACATGCATCTTTTTAACGGCGACATCTACTGCTCACTTGCTACAAGGTTAATCCGAGGAAAATATTTGCATGAAATACATGCAAATTGAATAAAACCTCATGCATTCCTTTTAATAAACGTAATTTTTAATATACTTTTTTTGGTTTTAGTTTTTTTTTTTCTCTTTCTCTTTTTTTTTGGGGTGGCAGGCCAAGGTGAGAAGAACCTCACCATAATCACCCAGTGAAACCAGTACTAAGTTACGATACATGTAACGCTTTCAAGAAAGTTTTCAACTTGCCCGAACTGCATTAGCTCTGTTCATTGTTGGTGCAAGTGCTTTCAAACCAATCGAGTCTGGCGAGATTTTGTCTACTTTGTGCAAAGTTATTAAAAGAAATGACATGATGTAGATGTAGTTTCATAATGAATTAAGCGCTTTGTGGTTGCTGTGCGCACTGTAAACTGTTATGCAGCGTTTTGGCTGCATTTAAAATGCAACATTTAGCACCTTCGAACATATGTTTTCGAAGAGCGTTCATGCTATAGCATTTAGCAAATGTACATTTACGCGAGTTCGAAATCGTATGCTTTTGACAAACAGCCGTGTTCCAGTCTCTTATTTAGATGCGTATATCTTACGATCAATTCTCACGCAGAAGATAATGTGCAAAAACCCTACTGAAAAGGAAAAAATTAATTTTAAACCAAAAATTCAATACAAAAACTTGAATTGTTTTAACCATAACCGAACATTTGTTTGTGTATATATTCATTAGTCGGTGCTGTCAATTAAAACTTCCTCACTTAATTAAGAAACAAACCAAACTGAGTTGATCACAAATTGATCCAGATTTCTATCAGCATCAAATCGATGTTGAATTTGCTTAACTTTTCTTTATCCAAATATGTAATGCAAAATAAAAGAAATCTCGATCGGCGATCACTGAAACGCAGCTAGAAACTGTATACTCAAAAAAGCAATGTTGCCACTTTTTCTCTTTAAACCATGGTCGAATCGTGGAAATTTTGGAAGATCACAGGGTTGCTTTTAGCATTTAGATTCTTAATGCAAAAATGGAGTTGCATTTAGTTGCATTTAGGTGACGAATTTTGTATGGATAAATGTACATTTAGAGTAGCATTTAGAGCTAAATGCGCTAAATGTGCTTTTACGCGTAAGCAAAAACAGCCTATTAGCAAGGTCTGATAAATGCATACGAATGTTTAACGCCCATTCTTCGCTGTGTAAGCAGGCAAAGGTAGTAGTACAACTTTCGACTTTGAAAACTATAATCAGTGTGCAAACCTACCACATATTTTTATGTATTTATTTCTTTTTCACATCTACCACACTGATGATAACTGCTTTCAAAGTCACCTTTCATATAAGCTGCACCTGCGCTATCCTTCACCTTTCGAAATGCGCGACCTTGACAGACTTTGCACATCTAACATGCACATAATACAAACCCTCACACAAACACATCCAATCAACATAGAACACAACCACGAGCACTACAGACGTATCATTGAACATACATAACTATGCTCAATCGCAGAAGCATGGCCTTATCACTATGAATTGTAGTTAATACGCTTTGTTTACAATATTAATAGTCCGTGTATCTTACTAGAGTATGACAGCTCACTGATGGGTGTAACTTTCAAAATCGATAAAAATTTATCGCTAGATGTATATAAAGGAGCAAACACAATCTTCATATGCTCGGATAATATTGCAATATTATGCACCCCTTACACGACCAATTGAACACGTCAATCATAGACCAACACCAACGTGGGTTTAGAGCGCGCAAGTAATATATGCCAATTCACGGTTCTATAATTATATGATGTAATTCTCGCCACCCAACCATAAGTACCATGATATTAAGAATAAATATCAATAATAGCAATGACTTTACGATCGAAACATCGACAAAATAACCATTTTCAGGTAATAATGACTCGCTATACAATGCTAAGAAAGAAAGCGGAACGCCGCACTCATCGTTATCCGATAGCGTGCCGACTTTGCGATGGTAAGCACCCGATCAGATTATGCCCGGTATATCGGGCAAAGGCCCCGGAAGAACGATTGCGAGAGTCTCTGCTCGGGCGGTTTTGCAGCAATTGCCTATCAATGACGCATCGCGTACAAAGGTGCACCAGCCGGGATCGATGCCGTCGATGCCACGATAAGCACCATACCACATTGCACATCGACGAAGAGCCCATTGACCGAAGACCTTGGAGCCAGCAGGTCGCCAGCGAGGAGGAACGAGAAAACGTTCTGTCGATTTACGCCTCGGACTCCGGAACGAATTCCCAATCGCTGCGCCGTGACATCGAAGAAGGCGAAATAGTTGAACCTGTGGCGGAAGCAAGTACTAATCTCCCGAGTTTCCCATTGAAGCATGAGACACGGGTGGGTGGCCCAGAGACAAGGATTTTCCGATCCCGGCAACGGCAGCGCCGTGGAGCGGAAACTCGGTCTTTCCGCCCACG